GTTCGACAAATGTTTCCTGAACATGCGATTTCTTATTTCGGCGATGTTCCTTGGCCTCCACGCTCCCCAGATTTGTCTGCATGTGACTTATTTTTGTGGGGTTACCGTAAGGTAAAAGTGAACCCTCACAAACCCCGTACGTTACACGAACTGAAAATTGCTATTCGTCAAGAACTCGCAAGAATACCACAAGAAATGATCCTACGTGTAATGCACAACTTTCAAGAGCGGTTGGAGATTGGCGAGCGCGAACAAGGGCGACACTTGAGTGACATAATTTACCATAATTAATTTAAAAGTGCTCTATTATTACTTTATTTAGCTGTAGTTAAAATAAAATTATCTTAAACATAAAAAATTTTATTCTTATGTGAAAATCATGCGTTTCCTCTGCGCCACCCTGTATAATGTCAAAAAATTACATTTTCACTTTCTACACCATGCATTTGTTTCGACTAAATAATGTGTAACTAGGTTTTTCATGTCATTAAACGTTCTATCACGAAGTTAACATTGCCTTTAGAAACAAGACTTTTGCACCGTTACTTTTACGCCATGGTAAAAATTTCGAAAATGAGATATTGTGTTCTTTGAATGTTATATGACATTGCATATAATGAAAAACCATACCACTCATTTTCGTCGGGTTGTCTACATACTATACCAAAGAAGAAAAAAGGTTTGTAGTTTTTGAAAATCGGCTCAATGGCGGTGGAGAAAAAAGCTAGAAACAAAAAAATAAAAATCGCTCAAACTTCGTTTTTTACGATGCTGCACAGATGTGGAAAGGGACAATGTTGCCAGATAGATAGTAGTTACCAGTAGGATAGGGAAAGAATGTGTATAGACTAATTGTATAGGCCTGTTTGACTGAATTAACCCGTTTCATTTACCTGTTGTACATGTTCGTAACTGACTTTTTTCCCAGCGTTTAAATTGCGCTGAACTGAATCCTTTATGAATTGATGACGGCGTTGCGTAGGAATTGCAGATTCAGCCAATTTGACGCCATTTTTTTGTGAATATAATACAGAGGCAGGTTAACCTAACCTTTCATATGGCAACTTCCGCTCTAAAGAGTCTATTGGTGCAAAGGATCTCCATGAACAGTCGGCTCTCGTCTACGTTCTATTTTTAAGTATGATACTGACTTCCGTACCATATGATCCAAAACTTATTTCGCATGCGAACATGCCATATCATAGCAGTAATTACTCTACATATCCGCTGCTTTTGCCGGGAACAAGCTGGAATATTCCGCAGGATGCACGTCAGCATCGAAGGGATCCGGTCATAACCCGATCATGACCGTCGACAGCAACGCGAGGTCGTTGAACCCGGAGGTAGCAGGAGCAGCTGCAGCTCCAGTCTAGACGAGCTGTGCAGCTTCGCGCTCAGCTGCAGCAGCAGGAAGTTCGGCCAGGCCGAGGAACGCCCGCGTTTGTCGCGACCCGATAATGGCCGGGTTCAAGCTTTGGATTTGTACGAGCAAAAAGTCATCAGGAAGGAACTGTGGGAGACGAATGTTTTTGTGTTGGGCCATTTCACGAAAAGGACCGAATCCGAATAGCTTCGGGCTATTTCATAAAAAAATGATAAGCAAATCTCAGTCTTATGCGGCAAGCTCATGTCAGGAATCAACTGTTCTAGCATTCAAATTTTGTAGTGGGGATAACCGCACTGATTTCAGTAAATTATATCTCTTTGATAATGACTTTGACACACAAAAGATCAATCTAAAAAAAGGTCTACGTAAACATATCTAAAGACAAGTAGAATTTTAAAAAATAAACCCCACAACAGTAACTGAAAACAATGAAATCTTAATTGTGCTATCAATATGAATCTAAGGCCACATCGTATGTCAAAATCCAAGTCGTGAAATAGAAATTCCAAAGTCGCAAATTTCGATCAAAATCATAATTTTGATTTTATAAAGTTTTAAAATTAATCCAACCAGACCTGACATGTCAGATTCCATCAAAATGTTGGGACTATGGTCCATTAAATAGATTTTTTTTGTCTAGTTATATACATACTGATACTTCCGCGCGAAAAACATTAACAAAATAATTAAAATCCTTTATTAACCCCACTTGGACAACATTTTTTTAGGAAGCTTTCAACTGTATAATATTTGAAACCTCGCCACATATCGTTGAGATTTGTATGTATCCCACGGCACTGTTGACGATATCATCGGCACGTAAACGCCTTGTTCGGGCTGGACGGTGAACAAAATGTGTCTAATTTTATTATCAACTAAAGGGCCTCGAAGGAACCTTATTTGAAATGACTATCAACTTTTTTTTTCAAATGAGTGTATTGAACATCTCAGCATGTAGAACAAAAGTGTCCATGGTACCAAACTTCTTCCACGAACAGTTTATAGCCATTGGTACCTCGATACCTACACACACTTGACCTTTGTAAAAAAATAGTCAAATAGGTTTACTCTACACTTCAAAGGCAACTTCATCATCTCTAAGTAAAAAGGTAGTTACAAGCCTGTATAACAGAGAAATTGAACGGATCAAGTCCGTCAAACTGTACAATTAGTCCATAACATCCTTTGTCTGCCCTATCCGTAGTACCGCCTTTTCCCAATATCTGGAAGCATGATGCATGACACGTGCCAGAGAAGGACACATACGAACACTGGCACACTGGCCGCAGCCGTTGAAGTCAGCAGACGCAAGGACGCTTCTCGAACACATTTTTCGATCGCAGTTTTAAGGGTAAATGTACGGGGCAATACATGATGTGTGAGATATGTCTAATAGCTGCACAGAATTATCGGGGTTGGAAGTGTATTGCGATACACCCTCCCTCACCCCCTACAACTGCCACCCCCCATTTTCCACTCCTAACATTTTTTTCAAAAGTGATCAGGATCCTCTGAAACGCAAAAAACGAAATGAGAGTGATTTTTATTTTTTGCGTTTTTGGTTTTTGCTCCGCCGATTTTCAAAAACTGTAAGGCTTTTTCATCCTTGACATAGTAGTAACCTTGTGTGGAAATTGCATCCCACCAGTACTTTCCAAGTTATAGACTGGTCAAAGACAGGCAGACAGACGGAAATGAGTGACATGGTTATTCGTGATGTCATACCACATCCAAAAAACATAATACGAGGGGCAAGTAAAAAGTAAGGTTCCCACATTTTTTTCAGGTGTAAGACATTTTTTATTGAAATTGCAAATTACACCATCTGAAAGCTTGGTCTCTTAGCTACTTTTCTACATACTCGCCAAATTTTTCTACACATTTTTGCTGTCGAGAAATCCACTTTTGAAAACCTGCCTCTAAAACCGTCGCCGCCAACCCGTTGAGGTACGTGGTGACTGCATTCTGGACCTCTTCGTCCGTAGCGAAGCGTTGTCCACCCAGGTGTTGCTTCAATTTCGGGAACAAGTGGAAATCGCTCGGGGCAAGATCAGGGCTATAGGCAGCTTGCTCCACGATTTCCCAGCCAAATTGTCCGATTAAGGCTTTGGTGTTGCGAGAGACGTGTGGGCGCGCATTGTCGTGATGGAGCCTAACGCCCTTCGTGAGTCTTCCTCTCCGGCGATTTTGGATGGCTCTTCTGAGTTTCTTTAGTGTCTCGCAGTATCTTTCCGAATTTATGGTGGTCCCAGTAGGCATGAAATCCACGAGAAGGACGCCTTTACGGTCCCAAAAAACCGTAGCCATCACTTTTCCTGCGGAGAGCGTCTGCTTGAATTTCTTCGGTCTGGGCGAATCGGAATGGCGCCATTGTTTGGACTGTTGTTTGGTTTCCGGCGTGACGTAATGGCACCACGTTTCATCTCCCGTTACAATAGAGTCCAAAAATTCTTCGGTATTCTCGGCACATTGCTGAAGAAACTCCCGAGCACACTTGACGCGGTTCTCTTTGTGGGTTTCTGAGAGCATATGCGGTACCCACCGCGCACACACCTTGCGATAACCGAGTTTTTCAGTCAAAATGTTGTCGATTGTTTTCTCTGAAACCTCAGGCACTTTTTCAGCCAGTTCTCGAAGCGTTGCTCGCCGATCCTCCTGGAGAAGACGGTCGATTTTTGCCACGACGTCGTCGGACACCGATGGCCTTCCACTTCTTGGCTCGTCGTGAATGTCTGTTCGTCCTCCGGAAAACTCCCTGCACCATTTACGGACGTGTTGCACCCTGATGCAAGCTTCCCCATAAATTTCTGTTAACTGCCGATGAATTTCAACAGGCGGTAACTTCTTGGCGTTGAGAAAACGGATCACTGCCCGGATCTCGCACCTGGCGGTGACGGCGATTGCGGGCTCCATCTCGAACGGCTGTCAGGCCGGCACTGAGCGTCTTAGCGACCTCCCCGGCCGCTAGGAATGAAGTGGGGGAACAGACGCACACGGCGGTGTCGCCGGATTTCGCCTAGCAACACGCGCGGCGGAGCTACAGCGTTGGGAACCTTACTTTTTACTTGCCCCTCGTATCTCATTTTCGAAATGTTTTGCCATTAAAATATCTCATCTCCAGTAGGCATGGAAAGTAAAAACAAGCGGAATCTGAAAATGTAAAATACATAGGTTGGTCTATTTCAATATTTTGAGGAGCAATTAATTTTTGATATTTTGTACAACTATTTGAATCGAACCATCCAAAAATGGGCAAACTTGCTAGCAACTACAGACAAAAACTCACTATCCATTAGGCCGCTTGTCCACGGCACGAATTTGGGCCGGCACGGTAAATTTACCGGACGGTAGAAAATAAGTCTGGCTTTGTTCACGGAGACGTCAGTTTACTGAAGCCTACAGTGAAGTACGTTTGATTTATCAGAATGGACGATGTATGTACTGTCATTGCGTTATATTATTTTTACAAAAAAAGACAGCGAAGGCGTAAAAGATACTGGGTGCAGCCATTGCTGCAAGATAGATTTAAATTTGGAACTTTTAATACATTATTCGAAAAGCTTAGAGAAGACGAAGAAAAGTTTTCCAACTTTTTTCGAATGTCAAGGGAATCGTTTGATAAATTATTAAGGATTCTAAGGAATCATTTGACACATGAAGATACCAATACAGGTAATAACACAAATTAACATTGAGCTAATTAAAAAAACCTGTAACGGAAAACCATATTAAGTAGCAAAATCATAAACTGTATCATTGGAACAACTAGATTGTGGGCTAGTATAGGTCTGTGAATACATCTGTTCACAGACCGAAGAATTATTGATGTTCGTTGTCTGTTGCGAATTGTGTGTTGAAGAGTAACTTTGATTATACTGATCTGAATTTCTCCATGAGGCTGTTGTTGATGATGGACCTGCTGTGGTTTGCAATTCATAACGCGGTGAATGTAATTCATGGAACAAACTTTCGGATTGTTGTGTAAAATGTTGACTACTTTGTTTTTTGCATGTAATATTTTTAATTATTTTCATCACTTCATACTGAAATGTGACGATATCTTCATCAGAAAATGTTTCTACTGTTGGGGCAATACCCCGAAAAAAAGACATAATTCGGGTTTGGTTCTGTTCCAGTGAAGCATCGATAACCTTCCTCATTTTCTCGTCTAGATCATTAGAGCCTACTTTGCTTTTGGATTTTTTTTGTGCAAATATTTTTTTCTGCTCGTGGCAGATTTTGCGTTTCGGCTATCGCAATGGCAGCATCAGTTTGGGCATTGAAAGCTTCGGTATTAGACTGGTCTGCAAAATAAAAGTAAAAGTTATAAAAATTCCTAAAGTATATTATAAAACATGTTCTTTACCATCATTTTCGGAAATATTTGAAAAGTCACTCGGTGATCTGCAATTTTTTGAAGGAATCGTAGCTCTTCGTAAAACAAATATTTGCGTACTTTCTTCGCCCCAGCACCAGATTTTTTCTCCTCGTTTAGTTTTTTATGGCATTTCATCCAATTGTCTCTTATGTTTGCCCATTTTTTCATTACCATTTTCCCTAAAAATGTTTGTTGTTTTAGGTACTTAGCATCCGGAAATACATTCACGGACCTCCATTATAGTTTCAGAATTGGAATAAAAACAATTAGTAGGATTGTGCGGGAAGTCTGCTCGAATATATGGCTGTTATTACATAAAGAATATATGGCAATTCCAGACGTCAGTACATGGCAGAATATAGCATATGCATTCGAGAAAACGGCAAATTTTCCGAACTGTATAGGGGCCGTTGACAGCAAACACATTAGACTTATCAAACCAGAAGACAGTGGGTCGATGTATTTTAACTACAAGGGATATTGTTCAATAGTCCTGATGGTAATAGCTGATTCAAATTATAATTTCATTTACGTAGATGTGGGAGCGTATGGAAAAGACTGCGATTCAAGTGTGTCTAAAGAATCATCGTTCTGGAAAAAACTGCAAGAAAATGCACTAGACATACCAACTCCTAGGCAGCTTTCAAATACCGATGTACAGGCTCCTTATGTACTAGTAGGCGATGAAGCTTTTGCATTGCATATGAATTTACTTCGTCCTTATGGTGGTCGAGAACTAGACCAAACCAAGCAAATTTTTAATTACCCTTTAAGCAGAGCAAGACGTTTTATCGAATGTTCGTTTGGAATAATGACTAATAAATGGAGGATTTTTCACCGCCCATTGAATGTATCCATTGATCTTGCAACTGATATCGTTAAAGCATGTTGCATTCTCAAAAATTTTATTCGCAAAGAAGAAGGCCTAAATAGAAATATAGCAGATACGGCAATGGATATAGATTCTGAATTAAACGAACTCACACGCTCAAAATCGGTACGAGGCAGTTTGTCAGCGAATGATACTAGAACGAAGTTCGCTAGCTACTTTGTTTCCGAAGCTGGACAAATTCCTTGGAAAAATAAATTTGCTTAATTATTATTATTTGAGTACTGTATAATGTATAATACAAAAACAAAAAAGGTTATAAAAAGCACATACCAATGTCGTTTCTATCTTTATCTGGTAGAGAGTCAAAATCTTCTTTCATTTGCCTGCATACTTCCTTCCAACTTTCCAAAGTCAATCGTTTGTCTTTATATTCATCTACAGTTTTATCCCATAAGACTGGCCTTTCGTGGACTAGAGTTATAAGTACCTCAGAGTCAATATTTACTTCTAAGCTCATTTTATCACGCACGGCACCACTCTCCTCAAGCATCGAAATATAACTGACTATGTTATCGCATTATCGGGTAGCACGCCGCTGCCCGCTGATTGACCACATGGTGAATCTCACGGTTTGTTTACAAACCTACACGTTGATACATGTCTAACTGCATCACGGCGCGCCGTCCGGCTGCCGTCTCTACAGTGGGAATCCGGTAGTGCAAACGGTACCGTATCCGGCGAAAAAAACGTGCCGGCTCGTGGACACACATGAATATAATATAATGTATAACCACCTATCCGGCAAGTTCACCGGAACAGCTAACGGCGAATATTCTGATCGTGGACAAGCGGCCTTATTAAAGTGGCCGTGATACAGATTGCTTTACTTTCATGTTCTTTTACTCCATCCGTGCGCGTTTTGGTCACCATGGACATGTTATAGATTTGCAATATTATTAAACTGACCAGAAGTGATGTTGATAGTCCAAATTAATACCAAACATATCGTCTCCCGTACCTGCAATACACAGTGCAACAGAGTTCGGACAGTCCCACTTCGAGACCCAATAAAATATTTTTTAAAATTACTTTTTCTCCTTTTTTTTAGCATCGCCTTTCTTCTCTACAATGTGGCTTTATGAGAATTTCAACTTGAGGCTTCGCCTTTTGTCATCAATCATCAACTTTACTTTTAGCTCTGGCAGGGGCGTATTGTTATCGTGAAAAGTTTCGATAATGAGACATTTTTTTAAATGTTATATGACATGTAGAAAAATAAGCGATCCAAGTTGCACATACCTCTTTCATTTTCTGCTCTCCAAAAATACCGAATTGCAACGTCGCATTAGCGCTTAAGGTGATTCAAAAATAATTTAGGTAGTTGCGAGATGATATGGACTATAGAAGAGTACCGTCACTCCGTCGTTAAAACAGTTTTGGCGAGGTATCTGAAATTACATTGTGGTATCCAAAAAACTACATGCAATTAAACTGTGGTGTCTGTGATATAGCAGGTAGGGAGGAGGAAGGTAAACATCCAGATAATAAAGGTGACCTGCAGGTAGTTGACCGCAGAACACAGTCAGGAGTATTTTACGTGTCGCCAAACTAGCAGGAAGTGGCGTGCTGATATTTCGATGTTCCGCTAATGATGTAAGGGCGAGTATTGTCATTCCAACATATTTGGAATTTGAGACATCGTCGCTTAAGTTGTAACACCACGAAACTCAGAAAAATAACTTATGTATTTACTTGAAAAAGCCACCGTGGTTGCCGGAAGTCAACAGAAGGCAGTATTAGGTTTTATTTGCGACTAGACAAACATGAAGGATTACAAAAACATTCGATAGCGAATCCAAAGACCCACCATTCTTTTTGCTCTCCTAAAAAGTTGTCAGTTTTAAATTATACGGTGATGGAACTCTTTTTATTGAACAGTTAAATTTTTGTGATTCAGGAGTGGATAGTGCCAAAAAGAAGAAAATACGATACACATTTGTTATTTAGTTTTACATCCTACGTCAATGAACAATAGCAAAAATGTCCAAAGTATTTTGAGTTTTATATTTTTATCATGTTTCATGATATACCCAAAAAGTATGGACTCCTTGTTCCAATATCGGCTGTAGATTGTTCAAGTATGTTGCGAGAAAATAGATGACATGTTCCATTTTTTTATTTAATTTTATACTGTTCTGTCTACATTATTCATATTCACTGAAAAATGAATACGAACAGTTGAAAAACACAGTGATTGTTTTCATCTACACTAAAAAAGCCTTTAGGAAGGACGTTTGGAGAATCTGCTTTCTTTTCTGTTTACTAACTTTAGCGCACTTATACCCATTTTGTGATAGTACAACAATCATTTCCCAGCTCTGTTAGAATGAGTATAGCAGTTACTGAGATTGCACAGTGTCAAGGAAACCAGAACGACAGGTGGGTTATCGAAAATGGGTGGAACGCTAAAGCACTCTATTTTCCAAGCTTATTTTCCAGAAACTATCATATATCGTTTAGACCAGGGCTGTCCAACTTAATGTGGCCCAAGGGCCACTTCAAAAAAAAATGCATTTTGGAGGGCCGCATTATAAAATCTTTCTACACAACATTATTACAGAGTTAATGTAAGAATTGTGCATATTCGGTATTTGAGAGTAATTTATACATGTGATGTATACATGACCCGTGAAGCGGGCCGCAAGAAAGTAGTTCGTGGGCCGCATGCGGCCCGCGGTCCTTATGTTGGGCAGCCCTGGTTTAGACAGTAAAAATAATAATATGGATTACCCCGTATAAACACAATTATTCTATGACACGCAAAAATACGCCTTACTCTGTAGAAATCAATTAAAAGTAGGAAACCCATTCAGAAGAACCAGCCGCCAGTAACCCTTCTTCTCTTTATTCCTGTATCATGGTAGCCTCCAGGTGTGTTGGTGTATATGTTACCGACAATCTGTATAATCCGGTATTCTATACAACACCTAGGAAATGTATAAAACGCTTAAAACGTGTAGGTAATGTATGAAACATTATTTATTTTATACTTTGCCTAGGTATTCTATACAATACCGAATGCGCAGCCGGTGAATGAATGAATGAATCGTGAAATTAGAGGCATTCCGGCTACCATAAGGAGCCAGTGCATAGACCGCTTAAACGGACCCTTATGCACATCTACATTCCTTAGATCACAAGCGTCGTTGATCACAAGCCTCGCCCTTTTAGAGAAGTTGAGAATCGCCTTGAGTCCAGGCTCCTTGCCGTCCTGGGGGTCCAAAGTAATGGATTCCAGTATAGTCTGCCTATAGCAGCTCAGAGCTTCATAGCGAACCATAACGTGCGCCGAGGTCTCTTCCTCTACCCCGTAGCGCTCACACAAGGGATCCTCAGCCCATCACGAGCAGGTGGCGCCTTAACCTGTTATGGCCAGACAACAGTCCCACCAGCAACCTTAGGCTGGCTCTATCCAGAGATAAGCAGAAAGCGCAGCCGGTAATGAAATGTTAAAGACGCAGTTGCAAAAAATACTGCGATAATAAAAAGTGTTCTTGTCTTAAAAGTAAGATTTTGTGCACTTCAAAATGTCAAGATAGTTCCTCATGTAAAAATAAATAAAGGTGCTTTTTTGTACCCTTTTCATAAAGCTTATTTTTAAGGAGCACTCTAATTGATAATTTTAATGAATTTGATTTTGACTAATATAACTTGTTTCATTTGTCCGTATTCTATAGGTATGCCGGTGAACATTGATAAATTTAGACCGAGATCTATTTATTTTACACACTACTGGTGGAAAGGCAGGTACTCTATACAATGCATAGGAACTGTATTCATTACCTAGGTAAAGTATGTAATGGATAATGATATTCATAATATATCATACAATGCCTGGACTACCCAGGTTTTCTATACATTCCCTAGGTATTCTATAGAACACCTGAATTATACAGATTACCGGTAACATATATATCCAGTTGAAGTGTGTATGTAAAGCGGGACGTACCCGCTAATAATATGCATAGCAGTCTGGTGATTTACTAGGTATTATGGATATTCATATTCATGATTCGGCCACTGTTTGGTCTGTACGAATATTTTGGTGAACAAATCATAATCAACTGTCCTCTGTGTCTCTACTCATACATCATTTGAACAGCTTCATTCCAGCCAAGGTCTTTGATTTCTTACCTTTTGTCTTCCACCCATAACCAATTCGTCTATAAAATACTCAAGTTGATGACTTCTTTATTATCAACGGCAGATTTCAGGGTGGAACAGGTTGCGGCGGTCGTTTTTGATATCTTTCCAATTTTTAAATCGTCATAACACAAGAGATGAAAATATGAAATATGCACACTCCTTAAAGTATTTTGGAGAGTACTCCATGTAAAATTTCTCTAAGAATTCTGGTTGCTACGCTCAAATCTCTTATTGTTATTATAACCGCATGTCCTTTCGGTAAACATTAGCGGGTATTTCTAGCTTTTGCTTTGAGTGATCCACCAGACAGCGGTAGCACTATCAGGTGGTTATCGAATGCTCAGCTAACCGCACAAGGAGATGGAAGAAATAAACCGGCAACAAATTATACTCGAAAAAAGAGGGACGCGCTACATACGGACAAGTCGCAGGTCAAAGAGTGTCTGCTCCCCTGATCACTCATTGCCGAAGGTCTGTTTAATAACTGGTCAGATCCCAACCAGAAATTGAGAGATGACTATTCTATGGTAGATCGAATATTTGGTATTCAATAGACAAGCCAAAAAGGTAGGTTGTGTAAACAATAAATTATAATCCACCAGTTCACTGTTATAATAACGTAGTGGTTCAATAAAAATGCATTTTCTTATCCAAAACACTCAAACAACAACTGATTATCCGTGCTAAATCCACTGAACGTAAATGTTAAATAGAAAAATACGACTTGTTTTCTAGCTGCTCTGACTTTCTTTGTGAGCCAAAATCACAAAATATTTGTATAGCTTTTGCCTTTCCGATCTCGCGCCGCCGACTGCCTAAGCGTACCCGCTGATTGTTTCACTTTATAAAAAAAATTACATGGATTACTCTTGATACCTAAAATTTAAAAGATTATTTTGTTTCTCAAATGTCTGGTAATATTTCACGACTAAACATTATAAGTTCTTTGATTAATGCATTAATATGTGAATTGAATCAAGAAGGACTTATTCATTTCCTATTTACTTTGTCGCCGCCGCTGGATCGGGGCAATCCATCGTGCAATCCCAAAGATATTAGAGAGAAGCGTGGAACTCTTTAAACTAGGCCCACCCCACCCCTAATCTGGTATGGGTAACACTGGAATTTTTTCGTAACCCTGAATCCTGATCCTCGCCTTATCCCCTCAGATTTCTGTCTGGATTGAGCAGTATCTCAATCTATAGGAAACAATTACTATCACAAATCCAACCACAACAGAGGAACGCCTACAAATTACTTTTATGAGCACATTTCAAATTTCCTTCATCCGACTAAACTAGTCGCAGATGAATAAAATTAACAAACCATTACTGAT